CTAGTCAGGGAAGTGAAGCTCTGGACCCAGGCGCTGGCAAGGCCAGCAGTGGTAACACGGGAGCTCTCCGTTCCTGGCCCACCACCCCACCTATGCACCTGTGACCGTGTTCACGGGCCCGAGGGCAATGCATTGTAGATTCCCAGCACAGACAGGGCAGGGGAGACATGAACCAAGCGTTCGGGGCTTATACTGGCACATTCTCTTAGACTTCCCTCCTAGCATCCCTCAGACATCCCACATCTTCATTCATTTGAGTCGCTCATTTATTTATTCAATAAATATTTATTGAGCACGTACTATATGTGAGGACATGTGTTATGAGTGGAAAACTGAGTCACAGGCGCCACTGCGCTTTCAAGGGCACACGGTAAGTCTCCAATTCCCACTTCTGCTACTCTCAATGTGAACAATCAATCAGGAGGACATTGGTGGGTGAAAGGGCTACTTTGTCCTTTAAAATGCCGGGAGTCCTTAAGATACTGGAACTCATGGGTAAATCAACCAAGAATTAAGAAACCCCCAAGGCAACTGAGGGCAAACAAGACACTCTTTTTGTTTTCAGCCCAGACACTAGAGTCCTGTGAAAACGTGAGGGGATTCTGTTAGTTTTAACTAGACACATCTGCTGCTTGGTTAACTGAAAAGTCCCGCATTGTAAGGCTCTTGGGGGTAAATGAAGTATCCCCCAGAGGTATAGATGAAGCCACATGAAGAAATCCAATTAACAAGGAAATTCAGTGGGTATAAGCCATCCCATTACCACCACAAGCCCCCATTCCCAACTTGCTACACTGTTATCTTGATCATCTTACAGATGAGCAGTATGAATGTTGTTTAGTGAGCCAGCCCCCCCGCCAGCGATGCAGGAAGGGATCTTGACCCCCAGAACTCCTGCCCCCACCCCCCACCCCCACCACACACACAAAATGCATACTTCAGCAGAGGGAGGCAGTGCCGCGGAGATGTGCACAAAGTCTGGGCTCTGCGGTCAGAGGGGTCTAAGTTTGACGGCCGTCCCATCCCAACACTTACTGGCTCCGTCGTGTGGATGAGTTACTTGACTTCCCTGAGTCGCAGCCAACTCATCCTTAACGTGTGCATACTAATTCCTATCAAAAAGGGCTGTTCTGGATAATGATTATAGAGCACCTAACTTGGGCTTTGACACACACAAGGTGATCAATACATATCGATTCCCACCCATAGTGTAGGTTCTAGAGCTTCAGCCGCAGGATGGTCTACCTTCTCCTTTGTCCTGTTTCTTCCTCCTCCTGTTTGGTTTGCTTTTTCCTCTTCACTGGCAGATGCTGAGCCTGGTTCTCACAACAGAAGATGCCCAGCATCTTGGATTCATTTATTAAATATTTGTTTATTAAGCCCCTTCCATGTGCAGTATGCTGCATTAAAGCCAGTGCTGGATACAGAGATGAATCAGATATCCCCACCTGTGGAATCTTTATAATTTAGGAGGGAAGCCAAACTTGCAGTACAACACAGAGTGATGCACACAACTTAAGAAAAGCAGATCAAGTGTTGCAACTCAGAGAAACCAGAAGCCATTTCCATCTGAGACAACTAAGGAAGACTTACCAGAGCAAATGCCACAGAAAGTAGGCTTTAAGCACTGGTAGGGCTTAGATGTATGAAGATGGGTGGAGGGCATTATCAGCAGGGTTATGGCAGGAAAGGGAATGTAGGCAGGAAAGCCAAGGGTTTTTAGAAAACTCAGCCTGGCATCATGTCTGGGATATGAGTAGGATAAAGGAAAGACAAAGCTGGAAGGCACAGTGGCGTCAGACTGCCCGGGATCTTGAAGGCCAGCCTAACACATCTGGATGTTATCTGCAGACCACGGGAAGTCAGTGAAGAAGTCAGTGAAGGCTCGCAAGCAGGAAGACAGTAAGGCCCATTTCAATAGAATGTCTTCATTGCTTTTCCCTATGAGTAGCCTGCCCCCCACCCCCCAACAAGTGGCTCTGTGGTCCAAAGTCTGCATTTCCCTCCAGTGTCCCTGCCTGAGCAGAAGGTCCACTGTGTGCACAGCAAAGTCCATGCCGCCCTTTCAGAGCGCTACTGAGTTTTCTCTTCCAACTGGAGTCCACAGAAGGAATTTATGCTGATGTCATAAATGATGAGCACAGTCTGAACCCAAAGGCACAAGGCTTTTGCCGCGACCGGTCATAATTTCTGCTACTTATCCATGTTTCTGTTAATAGCATTATAATCACTCGTCCACTGCTGGGGGAATGGCCCTTCTGCGTTTATCATTGCAGGTGCACAGTGTTATAAGAACAGCGAGAAAACTTTCAGGCATACTAACAGACAGTTTTCAAGAGAAGACATGCGATCATAAGTACTTTTCAGAACTAGAGGGAGAAATATCACCGCAGCAGGGAAAGAAACACACACACACAGTTATCTGTTCCCCAGCTTCTTAAAACACTACAAACCAGAGTGAGTTCCCTGGAAATCTACAAACACAATATATGTCATTTATTGGAGGCTATTCATTTTAATTATCTGTCCCCTCATCTGAACAATTCAGTGTGGTTTGAATGCCCTACCTTACCATTTCACATATTCATCCTGTACAGGGGGAGGAAATGCCAGCAAAATGCAGGAGGGGAGAGATGAAAGAAATAGAAACAGGAGGGGAAAGCAACTGAGGGAATGCAGCAAAAAAGCACAGAGGAAAGAAGACACAGGAGGGTGGGGACGAAATCCACACTGTTGGGCAGGTACATCCTCTGCCTGACCGTGAACAGAGCAGAGCGCCAGGCGTGTCTGAATGAATGACCAGAGCCAATTTAAGGCACCAAGAGCCTGCTCTGCACTAAGAGCTGAAGATACAAAATGAGTAAGGTCAGGCCCCTGCTCTTAACCAGCTCAAAGTTTAGATGGGGAAACTGATAAGTAAACAAGTGTACTGCAATACAATGGGCAGAAATGCCACACGGAAAAAAGAGCTGTTGAAAAAGCTTTGAGAGCCCCAAGGGAGAGAGAAAGAGGATTCTTGAGAGGTGTGCTGTGTGTGTGCCTTTAGGTAAGTCACTGGATCTCTCTCAACCTCGTCTCTAAAAAGCGATTCTGTTTGGCTGCCTATCTCTCAAGGTTGTTCAGTCATTAAATGAGCTGGTGGCTGAAGATCCACCCTGCAAACTGAGGAGTCCTGTGCCAAAGTCTGAGATCGCTATCCCCTCCGCTGCCATGAGCAAAGGCCTATTTGGTGCTTACGCAGTGCACATAGTACCAGTACTGGGGGTTGGGGGTTAAGCATGGACCCCTCTCTGGCTTCTCCCTGACCCTCTACCACCCCAGTCTGGCTTTTCACCGTGTGTCCAAGCACCCACAAATACAAAAACCTGGAAAAGAAGATGAAACACTCACCAGCGTCAGGTTGCCTCCAGCCTTGAAGTCCGCAGAAGGCAGCAGGGCCAGGGCCCGGCCCCCGGTGGTGGGGAGGGGGGGGGGGCGTGGGGGGGCACTGCTGGGTCCGAGAGCCCCTGTGTTAGCCCTGGCCACCTCTCCTGGCGGCCTCCCTCTTCTTGCCTCCCTTCACCAACACTTTCCCTGGCCCCTTTGCTGCCTACTTCTCTCCGCGGGCTCCAGGTTTTCTGCCGTCTCTACTTGCCCTCCCTATTTGGACACTGGTGGAACACTCCCGGAGAAGAGTGTTTTCTCGAATTTCCTGGAGGATGTGTGGGAGGACCAGTGGAGGCCGGTGACCCCCTGAGGCGCTCTCTCGGGGCCCTCGCTCTCTTCCTCCGCCCCGCCCCCCCCCCCCCCCCCCCCCCCCCCCCCCCCCCCTCCTTCCTTGCTCTCCCCGCAACCTGTCCCTTCTCCCCTTTCCTTCAGATTCCGCAATCCCCCCCTCGTCCCGTCCCCTTTCTTCAGGCCCCCGTCTCAGTCGGGTCTCGCACCCCGGACCCGAACCCCCGACGGGCCCTAGCACTGCCCGGGCGGCGCCGGCCTGTCAGGTTCCCGCGCGCCCGCCCGCCCCGCAACTTCCCGCGACTCCCGGCCCGGGACGCGCGGCCGCTCCGGACTCTGCTCAGCAGCCGATGACGTCACTGAGCTTTGCGCCAGTGATTGGCTACTTCTGGGTTTGCGGCGGGAGACTCGGCAGATTCGCGTGGCCGGTTTCTTTGTCCCTCCGCCTCTTCAGGAGGAGCTGGGGACCCAGGCCCTGGGCTCCGTGCAGTGCTTCTCCGGCGGGTGCAGTGGCCACCGGCCGGGAAGACAGGCCATGACTCAGGCCCTGGGGTTAGTTGTGGCGGGCAGGGAGCGGAGCCAGGGGAATCAAGTGGGCAGTGGGCCGGGCTCCGGAGGAACAGTCCAGACTGCGCGTCCCCTAGCAGGTGGCTGTCGCCGGCCCGCCGCGGTCTGTCTGCAGTGGTAGGGGCCTCAGCTGGAAAGTAACAGCTCTGGACTTGGGATCAGGCATTAAATTTCCAGTCTTTGTTCTTCTGTTTGTATGACCTTGGGCAAGTCACTTCATCCTGTTTCCACTCTGCAAAACAGGAACCAGCGTGTTTATTTCACAGGTCTACTAAAAGGATTAAGAGTAAAGGTATTTTGTAATTATTAAATCTGTTGTTATTTTAGTAGATAATATGGTGTAGCAGAAAGAATCCTGGATAAGGAAAGAAAAATCTACGCTTATCTTTCATTTTCTGGGATGACCTTCACCAAGTGACTTTTAACCTTTGTAGGCTCCATTGTCCTCATCTGTAAAGTGGGAGAACTGGACCAGAGGATCTTTAAGGTCTCTTCTGGCTCTGACTGGTAAAACTCAGCATCCTCCTTTTCTCTCTCCTTCCGAGGAAGAGTTCACTTCCTTTTTCAGGACTCTAGTTAGTCTCTCCCGTTTGTGAGCAACCCACCTTCTCTTAGGGGATCCTGGAGAACCTGCTTTTCATTAAGGGCCTGCCCTCTCCCCACCCTCAACAACCAACGTATCCCAAACGGCAGCAGCAAATACGTAGGGCTCATCCTTGATGGAGATTCTCTCCCCAGGCTACTGGCAGGAGCAGGATTTGGAGCTGGGAACTCTGGCTCCACTCGGCGAGGCCATCAGCTCCACAGTCTGGAGCAGCTCTGACATGCTGGCCAGTCAAGGTGAGAATCCAGGACCCTCATCTCAATGTCCCTCGGTTCCTTCAGCCATCCTCACATCATCTCCCACTCGTGTTGCCTCTGCCCTATGTTCTCACTCCCTTCATTACCACACAGCTCCATCTGACATTTTAGTTCTTAGTTCCACACCACCAACTTCTCTTGCACCTACGCCTCTTCCCTTACTCCAGTGCAGAGACCTCTGTATCCCCTACACCTTTTTCCCAAAATAAAATGATCCCAGGAGGAGGGTATTACTCAGAATAAAGAGGTTCTGAAAGACACAATCGAGGTAGAATTCTTCAAAGGGACCCAGGGATAACAGGATTACTGGTCAAAACGCGGTACATGGCGAGCAGTAAATGACAGGTTTCCCAAACCTTTAGTTCAGATGCTTAAGGGATAAATCATGTCCCTGTTTACTCAGCCAGCTCCGTCTCAGGCTCACTAATCTTAAAGTCATCGTTTAAATTTTCAAGTTAGATGGTTACTTGAGGAGCATTCCCATGAAAAGGCCCCTGCATTGAGGGTAAAAGAACAGAATCGTAGTCCCCGCTGAAGTCCCTGGTTAGTAGAATGATCACAGGCAATCACTCCACCTCCATGGCCTCATTGTCTACATCTGTAAAATGAGGGAATTGGATTCCGTGATCCCTAAGATCCCCCTCAGTTCTGTTACAATTCTAAACACCAAAACCAGTGGCCAGACTTTGTGCACCAACGTGGAGACAGACACCCCGAAGCGCGCGTGCTCGTTATCAAGCCCAGCACACGCCACCTTCTCTCCCCAGGGCCCCTTCTCTGCTAGGAGCATCCATTATGTATTTCTTGGAAATGGAGCTCTGGTGACCAAGGAGGAAAGGACTAACAGACAGGGCAGGGGTAAGGTCAGTGCCAGGGGGAGGATGGGGATTGTTTAAAATTACTCAATTAAGAAACGCAGGAAGTAAGTTCCCTGGCTTCCTATTCAGAGAAGAATAATGCCGCTTTTAACTGGTTTTGTGCCACCGAAGGGATGGTGCGGATGCTTCAGAATCAGAGCTGGAAGGTGTTGTGCATTTTCATCCCGTGGAGGTCGCCGCTCTGGGGTCACAGAAAGTCAGCCCTGAAGATGAGGGAGTCAGCATGGGGAGCAGAAGCCAAGCCGTGGGGAACACGGAACAATGTTGGGTGGAGGCAGAAGCGAGGGTCACGCAGTGAGGGCTCCCGGCTAGGCCAACTTGAGGGCCCATTTGGGAGTCAAATGGCTCATCCATACGATACCTTATTCGTCCTTTTTTTTATTTTTTTTTAAATTAATTTGACTAAGGAGAAAGGGATGAGAAAGTATTTCCATCACATGGCAGGGAAATCTTTAATCCTTTGCTCTAAAATAACAGGAGGGGGGTGATTTGGGTTGGTGTGTGGAGAGGCCGGTTGTCCGGGTACTGAAAGAGTGTGAGCTGACGATGAAGGGAAGTTACTGTGGGAGGAATTCAAAAGTCTGTGCCAAAATGTTTCAGCTTTTCTTTTCTTTCTTTCTTCTTCTTCTTCTTCTTCTTCTTCTTCTTCTTCTTTTTTTTTATCTTTCTGGTTGCTTATTCCACAGTTTTATCAGCTACCTCTTATGTAAATGAATGTGGGACCCAAGGCTGGCTCGGCCTTCTCCTCGCTTTTAGTTTTGGGATTATTGGTCTCAACCGCCTCTCCTGTCCTTGCTCGAACAGGCAGGCCCAGGCAGGAAGGCGGAGTGCAGAATGACAGATGCGTGTGCGTGCTTTCAAAGTGAACGGCAGAGCCTCTCAGGAAAGATGCATGTGCGGTGCTCTGTGTAGATTTGGGCGCCTTTATTCCCCTAAATGTTTGTGGCCCTGTCAGTTCACGCAGCAAACATTCAACAAGTGACTGTTTTTCTGTGTGTTCCGAGCAAGAGGAAATAAGGTCTGTCTCCCCTTCCCCACCACCTCCCTTCCTTCTCCCACGATGCCTTAAGAGAACACAGACAGACACCTGGGCCTTGGACCGCCTGGGTTAGATAAGGCACGCTTTGGCCCAGAAGTGGGTGGAGGGGCCGGGGCTTCCTCGGGAAGCTGACCCTCTTGTACTCCTGCAGATAGCCAGCCCTGGACATCGGATGAGACAGTGGTGGCTGGTGGCACCGTGGTGCTCAAGTGCCAAGTGAAAGATCATGAGGACTCATCTCTGCAGTGGTCTAACCCTGCCCAGCAGACTCTCTACTTTGGCGAGAAGAGAGGTACCGTCCCAGGTGTCCTCTCTCTGGGGGCACTGTGGGCTGGGGCAGGGGTCCGCAGAGCCCGGGGGTACATGTGCCTGGGGTGCAGAGGCTGGGCACTGGGAAGGCATGCTGTTGGAGGAGGCAGCTAAGCCAGGGGCTCCTCCCCTGGCTCCAGAGAAACTGTAGTGTTGCAGCTCTGACCTAAGCCATGCACGGTCCCACAGGGTCCTCCCTGGAGATACCCCAAAGCAGCCCTAAGATTTAGCTGGTGTCAGTGTTGCCCCATGTACTTCACACGGCAGCCGATGAGATTCAAGCCTAATTTTCTGAGTGTCCCTGAGGCTGCTGTGCCTGCCCAGTGGCTCAGGAAAGTGACTGACCACATAAAGACTGCTCAAACTCAGGAGCAGTTTTCCCTGCCCCAAACCATGCTAGACCCCTTCTCCCAAAGACTCTGGCATGGGACTGGAAGATGAACAGTGCCAGTAAAAGCCCTGCTTCCCGTTCTCCCGATGTCCCCAGCCCTTCGTGATAATCGGATCCAGCTGGTTAGATCCACACCCCATGAGCTCAGCATCAGCATCAGCAACGTGGCCCTGGCGGATGAGGGCGAGTACACCTGCTCCATCTTCACCATGCCCGTGAGGACTGCCAAGTCCCTCGTCACTGTGCTCGGTGAGGCTCCCCAACCCCAGGGGCTCCACAGTGGGCTTCCTTGCAAACACAGCTCCTAGGTGAGCCCCCGAGGCAGCCAGAGGCCAGGCAAGTCTCCAAGCGTTGGGGAAAACTTCAGTCTGTGCTTCCTTCACAATGGAACCAAGTGCAACTAGCACTGGGTTCTGATCCTTTCTCCTCTGCTCACTGTGTGCTCTGGGAGGAATCTCTTACTCTCTCTGAGCCTGAATTTCCTAACCTATGATAGAAAGATGCTAATGTCTATTCCATGAACCTCCCAAGATTATATGAGGAAAACGAGAAGTGCTTGCAGTGTATGATTCTATTGTCCAAGTACCCCAGCCGCTTACATGCTCTTACCTGGGTCCTACGTTTCCGCTTTCTTCTTTGCTCCCCTGGACTTCACACCATTTCTTTAGCCAGCCAGGTTTGCTGTGGGGTGTCAGGTCATGTAACAGATCTTCCCTGTGGGTCCTTAGGGAGGAGAATGAAGAGAAAGATGATTTCTCTAGTCTTCTACCCATTCTAAACCAAAGTAGGACTCATGCATCCTGACTCCTCCCCACCCCGCCACTGAGAGGCCATCTCTGCAGGGAGAGCTGAGGTCACCTCATGGTGCCTCCCCTTCCTATCTTGGCCATGCCCCCTCCATGGCAGGAATCCCACAGAAGCCCATAATTACTGGCTACAAGTCCTCATTACGGGAAAAGGAGACAACCACCCTAAACTGTCAGTCTTCTGGAAGCAAACCTGCAGCCCAGCTCACCTGGCGGAAGGGCGACCAAGAGCTCCACGGTAAGTCCCCCTGCTTTGGGGTTCAGAAGGAGGTGGTGGGGAGGGTGAGGAAGAGAGGGGTACATGTCTCTGTATGTGCACATTAGCATGGTGCAGAAGGAGAAGGACAGATATTCTGTGCACACTCGTGTGTGTGTGTGTGTGTGTGTGTGTGTGCTAGGGCCTACATTCTCCCTGTGTGTACATAACCATTTCACAACTTTCTAAGTTTGTCTAAGTTGAGACTCGCCATCTGTATGTCTGCCGTGGGGCCCACACTGTGTCTGTATGATAGGGCTTCACTCTGTGTGTGTGTGTCTGTGTGTGTGCGTGTGCGTCTGTTCTGTACTCCAGGAGAACCAACCCGCGTTCAGGAAGATCCCAATGGTAAAACCTTCACTGTGAGCAGCGCAGTGACATTCCAGGTTTCCCGTGAGGACGATGGGGCTGACATCGTATGCTCTGTGAACCATGAATCTCTAAAGGGAGCTGACAGATCCACCTCTCAACGCATCGAAGTTCTATGTATGTGGTGGGCTTCTGGGTGAAGAAGGATCAGGTATGAGATGGGGGGGGGGGCGGGGGAGAAAGCGCTCGTGACTATATGTGAAGCACCGTGCACAGATAAGTGATGAGTTGAGGGGTGACAGCACCAGGCCAAGAGTCAGCAAGCTTTTCAGTAAAGGGCCCGATAGCAAGTATTTGAGGCTTTGGGGATCCCATGGTCTCTGTCTCAACTACTTAACTCTGCTGTTGCTGCAGGAAAATAGCCATAAACAGTATGTCAACACATGAGTGTGGCCGCATTCCAATAAAACTTTATTTACAAAAACACAGAGCTGGCAGGATTTGGCCCCAGGGCAAGTTTACTAAGCCCTAGGCTAGGCCAGTGTTATGCAGCTAGATTGTAAGCTCTAGTGGTAACTGTAGCAAGCCAGGAGTCAGAAGATGCAGGTGCTAGTCTTCCCCCTGCCCCCTGCCGCTCCAGGCTCTGTGAGGTTAAGAAAATGGCTTTACCCACTGAGCTTGACTCTTTATTTGCTCTATGAGAAGATGAACCTGGCGATCACCAAGGCTTCTTCCTAGACGAACATACTGTGATTTCAGGATCCCAGATTTTCCCTGTGGTCCTCCTCATCTGCCCCAGCTCTGCAAGTGTTCTTGGGTTTCTGACCTACAATGGCCACTGTCATAGTCCCTACTCAGAACCTTTCCAAGGGTCCTCGTTTCTCTGTGGAATCTGCCTTGGGTGTGGACAGGAAACTTCCACCCTCACCTGAGGAAATTTGTAAATTTTCTGAGTCAGGGAACCAAGAAAAGAGAAAAGAAAGTACCGAGGCAGAAGACAGAGAGTTATAAAAGAATGCATTTCTCATCCTAACTTATCTAGAGGCGGGCATTTTCCTAAAATAACTCAGCTGTTTCATCTTCTTTCTTATGGAAGATCCAGGACTGAACTTGGCACTTTTTAAAATTGCTAGACCCATTGCTGAAACCTGAATGTGAGGCAGGTGTGGGGTGGCGTCACTTCCCACTTGGTACACTCTCAAGCTGGCGGCAGACGGCCCCGATTCCAGCTGTGGGGCCCCTACCGACTAGCTGTGCCTCTTTCACCAAGCTTGCCACCTCCCAGGGGCTGCTTACTTCCCGGAGTTAGCGTGAGGGTCAAGGGGAAAATATCTGTGAAAGAACTGTGCAGACTTCGGAGTTCTCCATTGCTGTAAGGTGTTTCTCTGCTGATTAGTTAGAGATGTGGGGCCCCAGGCCCGGGTCCCTGTCTAGGGCTCAGGAGGGCCCTCCCATGTCCGAACCCCACAGACTTCTCTGTCAGGTACCCGACCATCTGGCGCTGACTCTCTAGGCCCAACTGTGGTCAGCAGTCAGTCAACAAATGCTAGACTCCAGGCACTGTGCTAGAGGTTTCTTTGGCTCTGGGGCCCTGGAGCACCCATCTTCTCACCTGGCCTGATGCTCTTTGTCCTGTTTGATCTGACAGAAACACGTTCATTAACTGGTGGTTAAGGTTGGCTCTGTCCTTAGGGGAAGCTCGGCCTCTTTATCTGTTGTTCTAAACCAGCATCTGGCTGTATTGTTCATGCGGCCATCTGGACCTAGCCTCCTAGCAGCCCTTTGGCGCCGGGGCAGATGCCATTATTCCTTCACAGAGCTCATCTATACAGTGTCAGTGCCTTTCTGCAGCCCAAATACGCCCCCCATCTCTTGTTGTTGGGAAGCTCTTACTTCACTGTTGGACTGATGGTGGAAAATGATATTTTGTGTTCCCTTGTTGCTTTCAGTTAAAACTCCCGGCAGAACAGAGAGGATGGAGAGAGTGTGAGCTCAATAAACAATCCAGTTCAAGTTCACCGGTTATCAAAAATGTGTATTAAGTCAACCCTTTCTCAGCTCTCTGTTAGGACATCCCTTCGGTCCCCGCCACGACAGATCTTCAGAAATCCTACCTCTACGGGTTGCAGTGCGAATCCCACGCGCGTTCTGTAGCAACTGTGGACTGGGCTCGCGGCAGGCTGGGGGTGGAGGCCTCTGTCCCTGGCCCCGCCAGCGCTTGAGACTTCTCGGGGTGGAAGCCGTAATGTGCAACTGGACGATGGCGGGATGACGGTCCTCTCCTGGACGGTGTGGCTGTTGTGCGCTGACGCCCTTTCCTTCTCCACAGACACACCGACGGCGAAGATTAGGCCAGACCCCCCACACCCCCGCGAGGGCCAGAAACTGCTGCTCCACTGTGAAGGCCGTGGCAATCCCGTGTAAGAGGATCCGCTTCCCGGCCCTGGCACACCTCCGCACCTCAGACTGTGACCTTCCCTTAGAGTCTCCCCATCACCCTCTACTGTCAGCTTTTCGCCTTCCCTGCCCCTGCCCCGCGCCGTCTGTCCCCCGCCTGTTTCTCCTGCAAAGCAGCAGAAGGGGGACACTCTCTGGCTGCCCCCGAGGTCCCCGTAGGATCCACCAAGTCACAGTCAGATACAAGTTAGGAAATCGCCCTCACGCCTCAGGTCGAACCCCAAGGGGTCACCCCTCCCTTCAGCACCTCGTGCCTGTGGCCCCTGTAAGTCCTTCAGCCTGCGTCAAACCGTCCGTGACTTCCTCCACCCGGGTGTTTTTTGGTCTCCCTTCAGCCCCCTGGCCTGCTCTCTCCCAAACGCGTGTGATTTCTCTGCCTCCACAGGCCCCAGCAGTACCTGTGGGAGAAGGAGGGCAGTGTGCCCCCACTAAAGATGACCCAGGAGAGTGCCCTGATCTTCCCCTTCCTCAACAAGAGCGACAGTGGGACGTACGGTTGCACGGCCACCAGCAACATGGGCAGCTACAAGGCCTACTACACGCTCAACGTGAACGGTGAGCCCTCCCAGCCCTCCCCCGCATCCCCCTTGCCCTGTCCGCCCACCCCACGCCCTGTGTCTCGGCTCCTGAGAGCACCCCTCGCTGTACCCTGGGGGCAAGGGAGGGGACAAGAGCCCACCGCGGAAGGGCCTGGGACTTGGGCTCTAGGTGCACTCTGGAGTGTGTAACACGGAAGCCATCAGCAGGATGGTGGACTCTCGTCTGCCTGGTTAGCACTGATGGCCCACCGGACCCTGCCCTCCCAGCCCAGCGCTCCCCAGGCAGCAACAACTGCAGTTCTGTGTGGAGAGGCCCCAGAGTCTCACCAGGGCCAGTGGGGGGGTTCCCCTTTCCAGTGGGCTGTCTCAGGGCTGCCACTCCTGTGGCCCGTGGGGGACATGTGGTGCCACCACCATCTCCTTGGACAGGGTAGGGTGGGTCCAGGCAGAACACAGAGGTCCGCCGGTACGACGCTGAGACACAGGGCATTTTCTCGGGTGCTTTATCTCCCAGAGACCCTAGTGATGCTTCTTCTCTGAAGCTCTTCCCAGAGGTGTGACCCCAAAACCCAGGCGCCATGACAGGCTGGAACAGTGGCCCCCCTTACTGGAGAGTGGGCAGGATTTTTGAAGATCCCGGTGGCAGTGGGGTCCTGCCAGAAAACCTGATAAGCCCATAATAGGGGAAATGCATTGTCGGGGGAACACCGGAGGCTCCCTTGCTGGAAATGCCCGTTCAGTCAGTGAGGTGATGGCAGTCGGACCTCCCGTGGATGAGAGCCCTGAGACCCGTGGGAGCGGGGTGTTTGTGTAGACGGGGTGAATGTGACTCCGGGACAGGCCTGGGCATGTGGGAGCTGCCTCAGCACCACAGGCGAAGCTAGTGTAGGACGCCAGCAGCAAGGACCAGTGTCAGCCCCCAGATCTCCCCCCACCACCTCAGAGGGTGACCGGCAGGGCGCTGAGAGAAAGTTCTTGGCCCCTGTGGTTGGTGGTTGGTCTCCTGCGGCCCGCCCTCCCCCACCCAGTCGTGTCTCACCGCGTCCGCTTCCCGTGCTGACACCTGGCGGTAGGAGGAGGTTCTGCATCTCCTTCCAGGCGTCTCCTGAGCAGTCCCCGCCCCGCCAGCCTGGAAGGAATAAAGGAGTTCCAGCAGAGACAGGGATCTGTAACTGATGACCCCACGCGTCATTTTGGCCATGGGAAGCTCTGTTTTTCTAAGGGATTTCCGTTTCCATAGCCTTGGAACAATTATCCAGGATTAATTTTTTTTTTTTTTTAGTGTGGACTGTGTGTCACCTGCTGCCCGGGAGAAAGACAGGGGCAACGTCCCTCTGCTTCTTCCCACTCAACACCCTCACGCCTACCCCGTCATATCATGGAGCCCCCAGGCCAATCCTCCCCCCACCCCCAAGCAGAGCATAAAAAACCAAAACGTAAATGTTTTCTTGTCAAATTAGGCATAGCAACAGTCAAGGAACCAAGAAGCCGGCCCAGTCAAGCTTGAGGAGACATAAGATAGGAAAGAAGAAATATATAAGGAGTCAGTGAGGCATCAAGACTCAAACTGAGTCTGTAGGCAAACAGTAGCACTCCCGTGGGTGGGAGAGTTGTATCGACGGCTAATGTAATTTTGGACACATCAGACCTGTATCCTGGGCCTGGGCACTGTCTCGGACATTTGGGACCCAGACTAGGCTGCTGCTGTCCGTGGCATGCCTGGCCCAGTGTGTCCTCTGAGGACCTACACCACCCTCCCCTGTAGATGCTGCAGTGCAGGGCAGAGACTTTAGCCACCATGAGAGGAAGCTTGGGGTGGGGGCGGGGGGGTGTGGCATCCCTGAAGGAAGTCTTTGCCTTTCCCACAAACCTCTGGACGGTGGGATGTGATGCTGGAGGCCCAGACCTCCCGGAGGAGGCATGCTGGAGGACTGGGGTTTCGTTGGATCCCGGACCTGGGATCCTTACACGGCAGCCACAGTCCATGGCACCCTGGGAGGTGCTGTCGGAGTCCCCCTTCCCAGCTTCGTCGGTGTTTCACTGCCCCTCCTCTGTCTGGTCTCTGGGGGGCGGGGGATAGTTTGGAGGCCCCCCTAGAGAGGCCAGCTCTGAATGGCAAACAGACAGGAGGTAAGCGGGCCTGGAGGAGCTAGAAAGAATAGTCTGATACCCCCGAAAGTAAAAGCAAGAGCGAGAACAAGAACAAGAGACGATGGAGGCGTTAAAGCAGTGAACTTTGACCAAAGCTTCCATGCCAGAAACACAATTTAAAGGGTTGAGTGTGAGCAGATTTGTCCATTTATTCAGGAATACATAATTTTTTAGAACAATTACTGCGTTCCTGACACCACGTAAGAAAAAAGGGTACAAAACAAGGCAAGGCATATCCCCCCTGCCGTATGATCCAGCCCGTTCTGTGGGCGTCAGCCCGTGTTCTGTGCCGAGTCCGGTTGCCCACGACCAGGCCAGAGACGCTCGAAGACCAGGGCTCTCCCCAGGTCTGACTGTGTGCGTCCCTCCCCGCAGACCCCAGCCCGGTACCCTCGTCCTCCAGCACTTACCACGCCGTCATTGGTGGGGTCGTGGCATTCATCGTCTTCCTGCTGCTCATCCTGCTCATCTTCCTCGGACACTACTTGATCCGGCACAAAGGTCAGAGGCAGCGGGGAGCCTGAGGGCAGGTAGGGAGGCAGCCGGGAGCCAGCTGCAGGACGGGCCTTTGGGGACTCAGCTGGCCCCTTGGAGTGTGAGAGGAAGAAAGAAGACAGCCAGCCCTGTGATGACTGAGCACCACCATCCCCGCAGTACAGCCCGATCCCTCGGTGATCACCCAAGTAAAATGGGGTCTTCGCACTCAGCCTGCTGCCGCTCCCACAGCGCTCTGCCCCCAGGGTCTCGTGCTTTCGGGCAGAGACCTGCCGACTCTGCCACTGCGTCCCATCTCTTCCTGCGCTGGCTCCCTTTCTCATCTCTTCGTCCTTTGGTCCCCTGGCGCCTTGTCCCCACACCGTGTCCCCTCTCCTGTATCCATGCCTGCTGACTCCTCACAGACTTTCTCCTCCGTGCTTGTTTTAGTCAGCAGTCCAACTGCATGGGCTGACCCGGATCTCAGCTACCTGCTCATGGCTGACCTGCAGTTTCCCTGTCCCCAGCCTAGTGGGGCCATGCATGCACGCTGCACACCTACTCACATGTACACACATGCTTGTGCACACAGGTGCACACACATACATGCACACACGGAGGCATACATGTATACATACACACTCACATGCGCACACAGGTGCACACATACACACATGCACACACGGAGGCACATATGCATACATGCATACTCACACGTGCACACGGGTATACACATACATGTACACATGGAGGCACACCTGTATGCGTACTCACATGTGCACACAGGTGCGCACACATACATGCATGCACATATGGAGGCACACGTATACATACGTGTGCACACAGGTGCGCACACATACATGCACGTACGGAGGCATACATGTATACATACATACATGCGCGCACAGGTGCACACATACGTGCACACACGGAGGCATACATGCATACTCACATGTGCACACAGGTATACACATGTACATATGGAGGCACACCTGCATGCATACACACAGGTGCGCACACATACACGCATGCACATATGGAGGCACGCATGTATACACACATATGTGTGCACACATACACACGTGCACACACGGAGGCACACGTGTGTGCACACACACATGTACACACACATGCACATATGGAGGCACACGTGTATACATACATACTCGCATGTACACACAGGTGCACGCACACATGCATACCTGCACACACACAGGTACACACAGACACACACCTATGGGCACACACCTGTACATGTACACGCTCACATGTATGCATATACACAGAGGCACATACATGCTTATGCACACATACACACAGGTACACACAGACAGACATCTATAGGAGCACACATGTACATGTGTGTACTCGCATGCACACGCACACACACACGTGTAGGCACACATGCACATACATACACCCATACGCACATAACTGTGCATGTATGCACGCATATACACACACATGCACATATACACACGCACACATAGGGCTTTTTTCCTGTTTTATAAATGAGATTCTAATTAAGGACCGCATTCATTCATTAATTCATGAGGTGTGGTCAGGTGATGGATGTTGGCAGCAAGAGGCAAATTGGGTCAGGTGGGGAGGTAGAAAGCTCTAGGCAGGAGAAACATTGCAGGAGGAGGTGTGGTGGGCGGGCAGGGCAGGGCAAGGGTGGGGGGTGGGCTTCAGTGGTGTGGAAACTGCTCCTGAAACTGACAGGAGGAGCTTCTTCCTCTCTGCAGGGACCTACCTGACACATGAGGCCAAAGGCTCCGATGACGCCCCAGATGCAGACACGGCCATCATCAATGCAGAAGGCGGGCAGTCGGGCGGGGATGACAAGAAGGAATATTTCATCTAGAGGCGCCCAGCCACCTCCTACGCCCCCCAGGGGCCCCAAGGGGACTGATGGGGCCATCACCACCCTGGACTTGTACAGAGCGACCCCAGGGCCGCCCCTCCCGCTTGCTCCCCAGCCCCCCCACCCCCCTGTACAGAATGTCTGCTTTGGGTGCGGTTTTGTACTCGGTTTGGAATGGGGAGGGAGGAGGGCGGGGGGGAGGGAGGGTTGCCCTCAGCCCTTTCCGTGGCTTCTCTGCGTTTGGGTTATTATTATTTTTATAACAATCCCAAATCAAATCTGTCTCCAGGCTGGAGGGGCAGGGGCCCTGGGTGAGGAAAGCAACAACCCTGGAGTGTTAGGAGGAGAGCGAAGGCGGAGGGGTGAGGACGGGGAGCCAAGCTGGGCTGGTGTGGGGGGCCCTCCCCGGCCCTCCGCCCTCTGTCCTCTACCACAGGGCAGCTTCCTGGCCTCCAGGGGACAATGGGGAGGTGGTGAGCAGAAGCTGGAGGGGGCTTTTCCTCTGCTAGTCACACACCTCAAGCTACGGACAGGGAAGCAGGTACCACCCGGTCACCCCTCCTCCAGCACATCGGGAAAGGGGTGAGTGGGGGCCCCGAGGAGGTGTGACCCGCAGGTGGAAGGCAGCCACGCAGGGACCCAGGGCTTCCGCATGGGGAGGACACAGGTCCCTGCCTGGAGGGGGTAGATCTGCAGGGGGAGGATGGTGGAGAGGGCCGTGTACCCCTTGCCCCCTGGGGCGAAGGAAGCCAGGCCCTGGGGGGAGTGCTCCAGCAGCTGTAGGAGAGGCGCTGCTCCTGGCCCCTGGCTCTGACCCGAGCCCCCCTGTCGCTCGGCAACCATTCCTCCCGTCTTGTGCCGCCTGTGCCCCTTCCCGTTCCCACAGCAGCCAGGCAGACATAACAACAAAAATACTAAAAGGCGCTTCACTGCACTGAGCTGTGTCCTGCCCAGACGAGGGGCGTGATGTGAACTCTGTGAGTGTGTGGTTATGGTGTCTGTGCTTGTCTGTGTGTACATGCATGTGCGTGTGACAGAGCTGGAGGGGCGCCCGGGCAGGAGGGGGCTGGGACACTTTGCAAAGGAGGGCTTCGGGTGCGGCGGGCTCCTAATCAGGCTGTGGACCTCACCTGGGCTGTGGCTCCGTCCCCGTGTGTCCCAGGCCACCCTCAGTGCCCATCAGTCACGGAGAAAACAGTCCCAGGATATGTTTCGCTCAGTTGTCCATCTCGTCTCTCCCTAAAACACAGCATTCAAACCCTGCCTCAATTTCCCTTCTCAGAGCCACGGAGTCAGTGCCACAGCCTTTGCTATGCACCCCTCAGGCCTCTCCCTGGCACTGACCCTGGAAGGACCACTGTCACTTCTTTCCCCTATAGTCTGTCCCCTGGGCAGCAAGGGCCGGGAGCGAGACCTCGGTCTCCTTCCCATTTCCACCCCTGCTTTTGATTTTCTGTCTTCCTTCATTGCCGTGGAGATGAGGTTGCCCACACTCCCTGAGCCAGGGTGCCCCTCGGCCCCGCTCACCCACTCCGGCACGTCCTCCCTGCTGCATCCAGCAGGCTTGCCCACCCCCTCGGTTCAGGTAATAGCCTCGTGACTCTTCCAGCCACTGGTTAGGGCCCTTGGACACTGCAGGCACGCCCCACCTCAGCCAGGGCCCCCCTCCCCCCACAGCAGCAAGGCAGCCTAGGGCCCCAGGCCTGTCGGCTCCCTGTCTCCCAGCACCTTTCCTCTTTGAGCTGAACCACTCTGTCCATATTACACAGAAGCCATATTTGTACGGGGGGCGGGGGGGGGAGGGGCCGTTGTGCTGTGTGTGTCTGTCTGTGGGTGCGGGGGAGGGGAGCAGGGAGGGGATCGTGTATCTTTATAATCTTTCTAACTCTCCTGTGCTAATCTCAGAGGGGCCACCCTCAATATATCTGGATTATCCGTGTCGTCCGGCTGCCTCCTTCTTGCTCCAGTTGGGACGTGTGCGTGTGAGGGTGGTCCTGCTGGTGTCCCCTGCACCCGGCGCCTCCAGGGGTGGCGTGCGCCTTGCCATGCCCCTCTCCCAAGGGCATCCCTGTATGGAGACCACAGAACTCTCCAAGGGAGAGAAGGGTGTTTAGCCCCCTTTGGGGTCCTGGCTGGGTCCTTGCTTTCCAGCATGTTTGCGGAGAGGTGTCTGACTCCTCCCCGCGGCCCATCGCCAGGCAGTGCCGGAGAAGGTTAAAATGAAGGCAGAGACTCCACTAGCCCCACAGCAGGACAGACCCTCCCCAGGGACCACTGTCTAACCCGCTCATTTTGAACCTGAAACTGGAGTTGGCATCCTGAGAAGAAAGGGGATGCCGATCTGTGTAAGGCGCCCACCTTTTGTGTCTTGGCTTTCCTACTCCGGCTCCATGCATCCCTACCTAAACGCAAAAGAGCTTCTCGGTGAGATTGGAGTTGAAACAGCCCATGCTGTCTTGGAGTGAAATAATGTCATCTAACCAGCTCCTGAGACTCCATGACTCACCCCTCCCAAAGTCCCGGCTGTTTCCCCACCCGAGAGAGTAAAATGCAGGGAAACATCAGAGATGTGCAGAAGCCGGGTGGGGGTGGGGGCTGCAGAAGAGCAGAGGTGTTGGCTCAGGGGCCTGGTCTGCAGAGTGCATGCTTTCACTCTGCCAGCCACAGAGAAATAGAGGACCCCACCCCAGTAAGGGACTGCGCACGTTGCTGAGATGCCAGGCCAGTGCGGCCACTCCAGAACGTTTATGTCCCCCAACAGAAATATGAATAGAGATTACCCCGTAGGCAACCGTCCCATTTTAAAACATGTCCCATTGTCCCCCAGAGCCTGCTTTAACTTGTCAGGCCGTGTGTTGTGCTTGGTATGGAAAACGCATTCATTGCGCCCATAGGTGGCTAGACGAACGCCCAATCGCTCCCCAAAGTAGCTTCATTATGTAGCCTTGACAGCTGCCCCCCAGCTCCTCCTGTCCTCACACGGAAACACCCAGACACCTGCCTACCACCTAGCACTCGGATATGTGCATGCGACATACAACACACAGCCACACACATAGACTGGGGCACCCACGGCGCTGGGCGCTGGGGCTATCAGCCGCCCGCGGATCCAACCCCAGGCGCCACTCACACCCCCTCCCACAAATGTCGCCCTGGAGCCATCTTTCCCTGGATCCAGTTCAAGGGGTGGAGACTCAGTGAGAGTCATCAGCTGCCCCTTCCCTCCGCCTTCCCAGCAGGTTTCTTATCTCTGTCTCACAAGTCACCCCTGGCCCCTCTTCCTTCCTGGTGCTTGAAGACTCTGTCCTTGCTGGAAACCCCCCTGGCTTCTCAGCCCCCCTTTCCACCTTCGGGAAAATACCCACTATCTGCTGGCCCGCCTTTTTCCTTTCCTGAGCGCAGGTCCGCACCAATGGAATCCAACCTCAAAACAGGAAGCCCCGGGCTAGTGCCCCTTCTGCTCCTGAGGCTTAGGCAGGCCATGGGCGTGGGGCGAAGGCTTCCTGAATGCCCAGCTCCCCCCCGCCGCCTATCCCATGGCCCTGCCCAGAACTGATGGCCTTCATTAGCCCCTGGCACTTATCTTGGAGCCGCAGCTGCCCATAGGACGTTCCCAGCCCTTCTCTCTGCCTGCCCTGAGTCCAGCAGTGCCATGGGGAACTGTCTGCAGCACCAGGTGAGTGCGGGGCCAGGCCCACAGTCCCCCATCTCTTTGCCCCACCACCTCTTTCGGTCTGCCCCGGGGGGGGGGCCTTTGCACCTCTTCCCTTCTCCACTCATCTCTTACCCTTCCCTCTGTTTCCTTTTTCTCCTTCTTACTCTGGTCTCCTGGGTCCCCCATCCATCCGGGTCCCTGGCGCCCTGGCCCTGACCTTGTCTGGCTCTTGCAGCCTGTCCGGTCCCCTCCCCTCTCTTCTGCCCAGGTTCCGAGGCTCCCTGTTCCCACCTCTCCCACTGTCCCCACTGTGTCCCCTCCTCCAGGCTAGCCTCCCCTCCATCTCCCCCACCCACCCCCTCATTCCCAGGGACTCCTCAGTGGGGTAAACAGATGATCTGACTGTCCCCTCTGGGGCTGTCCTCCAGGTGGCGGATGAGGACTCTACTAAGTTCCCCTTTGGAGACGATATTTGGGACGAGTTTAATGATTCCTATGACCTGAACTATAACTACAGCAATGTGGACGCAGCTGCCCCCTGCCGCTCGTGCAGCCTGCTGGACAGCTCCTCGCTGCCCTTCTTCATCCTCACCGGCGTCCTGGGCATCCTTGCCGGCGGGGCGGTCCTCTTCGCGCTCCTGAGACCTCTCTCCCACTGGCAGGTGTGCCCCGAGCGGCCTTTCCTGGTACAGCTGGCCATGGGCAGCACCCTCTTCAGCACTGCAGTGCCCATCCTGGCACCGGGGCAGAGCGGTGTCCAGGGCACGGCGCTGTGCCACCTGGCCCACATGGTCTGGTATGGCTCAGCCTTTGCCCAGGCTCTGCTGATAGGGGGCCATGCCTGCCTGGGCCCCAAAATGGGCACAGGTCAGGTCCCCAACATCGCCCTGGGACTCGGTGTGGGACTCTGGGGAATGGCTATCCTACTGGGGCTGCCAGTTACCCTGGCCACTGACACTTCCCGTGGACTCTGCTCCGTGACATTCAGCAAGAGCCACTGGTTTCTGCAGCTGTCGCACGTCATGGCCTGTTTCACCCTCTTCACCTTGTTGCCACTGGGTTTGCTAGGAGCCAAGGTGCTGATGAAAATACTGGGCAGGAGGCTGTGTCCCTGGGTCAATGTCCTGTGGGCCTGGTTTGTGTTCTGGTGGCTCCATGGGGTGGCTGTGGGCTTGGACTTTCTTGTGAGGTCCAAGACCTTGGTCCTGTCGACATGTCTGGCGCAGCAGGCCCTGGACTTGCTACAGCACCTGGCGGAGGCCGTGGCTATTCTGCACTGCGTGGTCACACCCCTGCTCCTGGCCCTGTCCTACCACCAGACGGCGCGCACCTCCCAGCCCTCCCTGCCCCTCCCGCTCAGACGGCCTTCTCATCTGGACACCGAGGGGGGAAAGTCCTAGCTCTCTTCCTACCTGTCCGCCTGCATTAAAGTCTGCGCTGCTTTTATGAAGCTGGTGGTTTCTTATT